CGTCTCACTCACTCCCCGGCCTGCACTCTGGGTCTGTTCCCAATCTGTCTTTTAAATCATTTGTACTTCAGGTTTCTCTTTTTTTGTACTTATTTTTTGAGATGGTCTCCCTGTGTAATTCAGGCTGGCCTTGAACCCAGTGTGGAACAGTGCTGGCCTCAACCTCTGGCAGTGTTGCCTCAGCCTCCAGCACTGGCATGTCAGTCTCTCCTGTAGAGAACCCAGGTGACATTTGGGCTGCATGCTTTGTTTTCATGTGAACAAGTCTTTATCTTTAATCAGAAGTGTTGTACTCCTCTTGATCCTATTATAAATGAAATTTCTCTCAGTTTCATTTTGAACTGCTTAATTTTTACAATTTTTGTTGACTGATCTTGTAGTTTGCAAAATTACTAAGTCTAGCTCCATTAGTTTTTAATTCCTCCTTCTACATTCCTATGTAGAAAGTCAACAATGAATAGCAGTTTTATTTTTTCCTTTCCAGACTGGATGCCTTTTGTTTCTTTTTCCTATCTTTCTTTCCTTACTAGAATCTAGTCTAATACTGAATGTAGGTGAAAGAACAGACATCTTGGTTTGTTCTGGTACTGAGCGAAGGCTTTTTGGTCATCACCATTAAATCTGAAAGCTGTGAAGTTTTTTAGGGTGATCTTTATCATTTTCTTAAGATTTTGTTGAATGTTTTCACCATGAAACGGGGTTAGTTATGTTTTGTATATGCCTTTTCTACATCTCATGAGATGGTTGTGTTTTTGTCTTTCACTCCGTTGCTATGACATATTCAGTGACTGATTTTCACATGTAGAGTCAACATTTTAATATAGGAATAAATTTGAAACACGGTGTATAACTTCTTTGTATCATGTGTTTTTGATTTCCTGGTAGTTCATGGAGAATGTCGGTGTATATATTTATAAGGGACATTCGTTTGTCTGTTTTGTTTTTTCTTAAGATGTCTTGTCTAATTTTTTTATCATATTTTGAGATGAAAAGTGTATTCTCTTCGTTTTTGAAAAGTCTGTGATGGGGCTAGGGCGATAGCAGCGGAAGTACCAGCTGCATATGCGCCGGTGCGGCAATCTCCAGGTCCTGAGTTGGATCCCCCGTGCCAGACCAAGAAGTCTGATGAATTTGTGCTAGTATTCTCTTGTAAAAACCTCTGGTCTTTGGCTTTCATGTGTATGATAGGAGGATTTTTGATTACCAGCTTCTTTTGGAGCTAGCTCTGCACTTTGTGTCTTTCCAGAAATTTGTCCTATTTCATGTAGGTTACCTAATTCCTTGGCATAAAATTGATTTAATGTCTCCTCTTTCATTGCTGATTTTATTTTATTTATTTATTTTTTTATTTATGTGTGTGTGTGTGTGTGTGTGTGGCCAGCTCAGCCCACCAGGGGGCGGGGCTGGCTGGCATGTGGTGCTGGGGGATTGAACCGTGGTTCCTGTGCTTTGCTAAGCTTGTTCTAAGTAGGTGCTTTAGACCACTGAGCTATCTCACCAGCCCTCATTGCTGATTTTAGCATTTGCTTTTTATTTTCGTTCTTTGGAAAATTACATTTGTTAATTTCCATCTTTTCAGAAAGCCTACTTTTGGTTTCATTGTTTTTGTCCGTTCTTTCCATTCCCTTATTTTTCAAGGTAATTTCTTATTGACAGCAGCTTCCAGAGTGGGTTGGAGGCCCTCAACTGTTCTGCTCCTCCTAGGGCCTTTGATATGACTTCTGTGTCCTTAATAACATCAGCAGCTCGTTTCCCTTTCACACCTAAGTGGAAAGTGTAGAGTAGAGTTGAGTTTTACTGCGGTCCCATGGCATGTGAAATGTAGCAGAACAAGGAGTGTGAGTCCGTCCGGACTGTACCAGTGTGGCACTAAGGAAACATACAGCAGTACTCCTCTTTTTGGTGTTTTTTGTTTTGGAAAATGTATTTTTCATTTTAAGAAATTAATATAAAAAATTAATATGTGCTATTTTAAAGTGAATTATTAAATGTTTTTTCAATTCTCAGTTTAAATTTCTAACTCATCTTAAATACTATAATCAACACTTAAAGAGATTTAGTCTTCACTAATTGTATAGAGGCCTTACTGTAGACAGTTCTGCCTTTAGGTGTCATATATTATCTATCAAATCTTCCAATCAACCCAGTGGGATAGAATGCCTATTTGTGGCTAAACAAAAAAGAAGAGCTAACTAATTATTTCAAACTGTTAATAAGAAGAGCCTTGTTTAAAATGTAATGTAATGTTTAAAATATAATGTTTAAAAATGTAATGTTTAAAATGTAATGTTTACTATTGGAAAGCTAATGCTTTTTATACTAAGTACCTAATTATTCAGATTTTCTTTTTCAACATCTTCATACTCTGACTTCTGAGAACCTAAAGCAAGCTGCTGAGTGAGCCTTTCAGAAGAGTGTGTTTTCCTGGCACTGTGTGCTGACATACTAGCGGTGCTCTGGTCTTCCCCGGACCACAGTGATTCTCCACATTCCCTCAACAGAAAGATGTGTGATGGCGGTGCTGAGGAGGAGGACCCAGGACGAGAAGAGCAACGTCAGGCGGTCCGCGCTGCAGGTAGGCGCTCGTCCTCGCTCTACCTTGGAAATACTTTTTAAACCCCAAGTCCTTTGGCCTTCCGTACACTTAATTTGCTTTTCCTAGTTGGCGCTAGTCCTGTTACATACACATTGTACAGATGAACTGAAAATTGTAGTTTTTCAAGTTTTCCTGTTGGGATGCTGGCTTTTTAAGAATCACAGACTTGAAAATGTAATTTGATTTGTTTTACATTCTTAACCTGGGGACCCTGGATGCATTTTGGTAGCTTGGTCGAATTGGTTGGAAATACTTGGTTACCTGAAATGTCAGATTTTCTCTGGAGAAAGGCCTTAGCTTTCATCTGATTCCAAAATGTGTGGTGCTGGGCCAGCAAGATAGCTCAGGGGTCTAAAGCGCCTGCTTAGGCAGACGTGGGGACCACAGTTCAGTCCTCAGCACCACATGCCACCCAGCCCCACCCCTAGGGTGGGCTGAGCTGGCCACAAAACAAAAAAGAAAAAAAAGAGCTTGTATGCTGCCACAGGGAGGCGCGTGGGTCTGTGGCACCCAGTACTCTGAGAACCACGGGCGCGCGGGACGCTGTGGCCTGCTGTGTCTTCCGATGCCTGTGCTCTCTAGTCACCGCCTCCTGCTGTCTGTGTGCCTTTAGGTGTTAGTGAGTATTCTGAAACACTGTGACATCTTGGCTGTGGAGGAAGACCTGACAATTCTCCAGGCCCACTGTCGGGATCCTGCCCTGTCTGTCCGGAAGCAGGCTCTACAATCTCTTACTGAACTTCTTACGGTGAGAGGCAAGGCGCTTTGTATCTGTCGCATGGCATCTTATACCAGAGGTAATTCTGGGGCCGAGGGTGCAGCTCAGGACTAGTGTGTGTAAGTTAATCACTTTCCATTGCTGTGATAAGCCCCTGAGAAAAACAGCTTGAAGACGATGAGGCTTCCTAGAGTTCACGGTTCCAGAGGTTTCCATACGTGGTCAGCCTCCTTTGTTGCATTTGTGCTCATTGTTCTTTGTGGCTTTATGGTGGAAGTGTGTAGCAGAGGAAAACTGCTCACCTCATGGCAGCCAAGAAGGAAGGGAGGGAGGGAGGGAGG